GTAGAGTGTCAGATGGTGAACCAGCTAGTACATAACCTTCATCACAGGTAAACGCACAGGTGGACTGATAACTGGAGGAGCCCAGAGGATCGGAGCACTCCATGGATCCTCTAGCTGGTTGAGACAGCTTCTCACACTGAACCACTGTGGACAATAGGACCATCAAAAAACACATTACAGCAAGTTCCATCACGTTGATAATAAAATACAGATGCTATGAATATGGCTACTTGAAATCACAATAATACTATATCACATTATTTCATTAATATGTATTTTGCAACTTGCAGTACACCTCAACTCACGTTCACATGAAGGAGGCTGCTCTGACCACCTTTTCGAGGCGGTGCATCTCAGGGGTCTTGGTGTACTCAGCTGGTATCCTTCTTCACAGGAATACTCACATAAGGAGTCATAGGAGAAGTCCCCATAGGTATGAGTGCAATTTACACGTCCTTTATATGGGACAGTCACCTCCTCCTTGTTACACTGAACAACTGCCAACAAAGAAAACAAGTTAGAATTAGATATCATGTCCTGGTAGTAAGTTGCTCAAATGTCAACTTCAAGTACAATGTCATTGTATTTTCTTACCTTGGTCACACTTCTCTCCGTAAAAGCCTTCAAAGCAGGCACACCTGTGGCTATTGATCGTTTCTACGCAGTCTCCATAGAGGCATGAGTCATTCTTACAGGCAGCTGGTGGAAGAAGTACTTTGTTTGAGCTTTTTAAAAAAAACAAACACTAAATAATGTTTAACCGCTAAACCAAAAGATCTCTGAGTAATGAACAAACTTTTGCTCACCTGTGTAGCAGAGAGCGGTCTTTTGTTTCCCACACCTCTCATCATTCCACTTGCCGGGCTCCATATCCCTTTTAATATACATCTCCACACAATCTTCATTCTCCCTCGTACGCTGACCCTTCTTGCCGTTGTTTGGTTCACCCTTTGCCCAGTTGGTTGCTTCTGCTGTCAGAGACTTGTTAGTGCCCACCCAGGTCCAGACATTATTGAACTTGCGGATCCCAATCCAGTAGTAGCCGGATTTTCTTGGCAGCCAGCTGTTAAGATGCCCAATCTCCTCCTGGTTCTGGATGGCCACCATGTCTGTATAGTGCTCCTGGCACCAGTCTCTAGCTTGTTGCCAGTTCATGGTGGTGTTAGAGTAGAAGTAAGACCAGCACTCTACGCTAGTCCACATGCACAGCACTGAGGAGCAAGGACAGAGACATGCATTCAATGGTTTGTTAATCAGGATGAACTACTTAAATAAATAAAAATGACAAAAAAAACTTTTTACTAAAGGCTCTGTTTGCATTAGATTTACATACTTGAGAAAAGAAGAGTCAAGCTGATCCGTGAGGAAGAGGTCTTTGATCCGCAGGCTTGAAATAAATCAAAGTAGAACATCTGTAAAAAATTAAGTAGAAAAAGAGTACATTAAGATAAATGCATGCACAACTGGCCACAAGCAAACAATGATGTAATTTGCACTTAAGAAAAGAGCATTTAAATGTAAACCTCTGCACTCACCATTTAAGTGGTTTGTGTAATGCTCTTAGTACTTCTTTAGTCTTGGTGCATCCAAGGATGAGACGATTCTGAGCGTTATGTGCTGAGCTGCTTGTTTTTATACACTTCATCGGGTGGGTCCAGGTTTCCTGGAAGGTTGTCACAATTGGGTTTTTTCAGTGGAAATCCCCACACCCCTTCCACTGCTGCTCCATCCCACCAGGGACACTGGAAACTTTCCCTCTCCTCTCTCTTTCTACTATGATGCCAAACAATTTTTTGTATTAGGTTGAATTCCTGTGAATATAGTTCCTTTTACCATAGTGGAAAGTAAGTGGAGAAATTCACTCCACTACTGCATTTACAGTGACATTGTGCTTAACTTGTATATTTACATTTTATGCTACCTTTCAGGAATAAATGACATACTCTTTACTTTATACACTAAATTAATTTGACTGTTATAGTTAATTTTACGATATGAATTTTCATCAAAAACATATGATGAAATTATAAAATATCAGCTACATCAGATAAAGCACTGTATTTAAATACACCACCTACTAATATATAAAGTAATTAGAAGTGACTCCAATTTCACCAGCTGTAATGATAACTAGTGGTAGAAAGTACAGTAACTAAGTACATTTATTCAAGTACTGCACTTAAGTACAATTTTAAAGTATCTGTACTTTACTATACTTTACTGTATTTTCATTTTTCATACTTCCACTTCATTACATTTTAGAGGCAAATATACTTTTTACTCACTACCTTTATTTTAAAACTTTGGTTACTAGTTACTTTCCAGAGACAGAGTAATACATAAATTACAGTATAATCATAAGATTTTATTGATCTCTGGTGGAAAAGCTACCCAGCATTAATTCAAATAAGTAAATAAGGTAGTTAACCTTAGCTCCACCATTACCAGCTGCAATATTAAATGTATCAATAATTATAATCTAATAATATGATATACATTTCTGTTAAATGTGCCAATCTGCATAGTGAGTACTTTTACTTGTAGTGCTTTAAATATGTTTTGATGCTAATACTTTTGTACTTTTACTTAATTAATATTTTGAATGCAGGACTTTTACTTGTAACTGAATATTTTTTACACTGTTGTATTGCTACTTTTAGTTAAGTAAGGGATCTGAGTACTTCCTCCACCACTGATAACATAATGCCTACACATATAAATGGCATAATATCAATTATATAATGATGCTACAAATTAACCTGGAATATTCTACCTCAGGAGTGCTTTTACTTTTGACACATTTTGCTGCAAAATTGCACAGTATTGGAAAACCGATAGCACACTACAGATGCAAGTAGAAAATGAAGGGCGACGGAGGAGGAAATTGCAGTTTTGGAAACGGAAATCATGAGAGCTGATAAGCTGAAAGTGTATTAGAGAGAACTGTTAGATAAAGACATTACTGTCGTTTCCCTTCATTTGGATTTCAACCATTCCAGAAAATGAAAGTAAAGTGTTAATGTTATTTTTGAAATGATTGATGAGGCTGTCTTGCATCTGTAAAGCGACTTGGATGTGAAGTCTCATGAGTGTGCACGATGAGTCATTCCATTAGATGTGGTACAAACTGTGCCAGCAGACAGTACATAGGCCAGAACATACTTTTCACAGTTTAAAAAGGGAAGTGGCAGCTAAAGGATGTGCTCATCAAAAGAAGAAAGGTGAAAAAAAAGAAAACAATAAGCTGACAGCTACCTTGTTACTGGTATTTTTTAATGAGTGTCCAGGGACTGTAAATGTGTTGTGCAGGAGTAGAGGCGCCTGCCGACTGCCTGTCTTTGGAAGTCATTTCCTTCCTTCCTTTCTGACCTTGTACAGTAGCCAGTGTTGCTTCACACCTCTTAACCTCCACCATTCCCCTGAAAAATACAAATCCCAATTCCAAAAAGCTGGGACACTGTGTAAAATGTAAATAAAAACAGAATACAATGACTTGCAAATCCTTTTTGACCCATATTGTTGACTGTTGAGCAACTGAAGTCGTACATCGAGCAAGAATGGGAAATAATTCCACCTATAAAGCTTCAACAGTTAGTGTCCTCAGTTCCCATTAATGTTAGCGGAATTGCTTGGGGGCAGAGCTATTCTTGTAATTTCTCTTACATTATAAAAGTGGGCTAAGGCAAAGCACTTTTAATCAGTTTTTGTGGGCAACTTTATCATGATTACATTGCTGTTACTGTTAAAGTTTGCTAAACAGAGGTGGAAAGTAAATAAATTTACACAAGTACAGTATTTAAGTACATTTTTGAGATATTTGTACTTTATTTGAGTAGTTCTATTTTCTGCAACTTCACTGCATTTTAGAGGCACATCTTTTCTTCACTATGTTTATTTGAGAACTTACTTTTCAGAATCAAATTAATAAAACAAATTACAGTATAATCATAAGACTTTATTGATCCTCATTGGAAAATACAAATGCTACCCAGAAGTAATTCACATTATAAACAAGGTAGTTAAAATTAGTTAACCTATGTTTACTATATGACACATAATAATTAATCAACTATAATGTAATAATATCATAAACATTAGTGTGAAATGTGCTATTCTGTATAATGAGCACTCTAACAGTGTTGGACTTTTACTTAGTGGCTGTGGCTCACGAGATAGGACAGTCATTTCCTGACCAGCAAGTTGGTGGTTTGACCCCCGGCCTCCCCACATGCCTAAGTGTCCCTGAGCAAGGCACCGAACCCCGCATTGCTCCCGGTGGCTTGACTAGCGCCGTTGTGTGGCAGCCTGTCGTCATCTGTGTGTGAATGGGTGAATGGTGTATCATCTCCTGTAAAGCGCTTTGGCCAGTGCAACACACTGTAGAAAAATGTGCTATATAAATACAGTCCATTTACTTAAGTAACTTTTTTAATGTAGAACTTTTAACAGTATTTTTACACTGTGGCACTTTTACTTAAATACAAATCTGAGTTATTCCACCACTGCTGCTACTGTATATGTATATTTGAATTGATTTGATTTATTCTTTCAAGCATGTAAAGACAGTTGATATGTCAACACACATAATTTTACACATATCCAACAAATGCTAATCCAATATCAATTTGCTTATACCTAGTACATGCTTGAATGGAGTAGGAAGAAGTCAGACTTATCCAGTCCTACCCCATGACATCATCTTACCATCATTGGTTTGCAAGCAGTATCTCTACATAAATAATTATCTTCTACACCACACAAGTAATATACTAAAGAATTATAACAGAGTGTTAACATTCGTACATAATTACATTCTTAAATACTTATCTTCTACACCACACAAGTAATATACTAAAGAATTATTACAAAGTGTTAACA